CCCCCCCCCCCCCCCCCCCCCCCCCCACTAAAAAGAGAGCAGATTAATCATCTTAATAGTTTTATGATCCTGGTACACGTTATAGGTTCAAATCATAATAAGCATAGGCTAAAATATTCAAAATATGGTCCTATTGCTAATAGAGTTGGTGAAAAGGCACATATCTAGCTCAAAAAGCTCACAATTATCCAGTATGGCTTTAACTTCTTTCTCCTTGAGCACTATATCTCATTTGGTATGGATCAGAATGCAGAGGAGTTCATAGATCACACAGAAATTTAATCATGAGACCATTTGTAGATAGTAGTGGTGGTGACATAATGAAAGCTTATTCTATAAAAAACTGAACTATTACTTCTTTTGGAAGATGCTAATCAGAACTCAGAAACACAATTGTAGAACCAAAAAACTCGAGTGGGACGATTTCATGGATGGGATTCATATTCAGAGTTCACAAAACTCATCTATGAAGGGCTAGCAATAGATTTCTATATGAATAGGTTGTCTTTGTTTTGTGCAAAGCCAACTGATTAAAGACCAAATCTAGAGTAGCATCAATCATTCTAATGTTAGCCACTTCTAGAAAGTATAGCACATCAATCATTCTAATGAGCATTTATGTATGCATGCAAAGTCAGCCCATCTACGCTAAAAGAGAATATGAAAGCATAAAAGTTCCATTACATGAACAAAGCCCTTCAAAACCATGAAAAAAGTAAATAGAAATCAAATGATAAGCTCTTGCATTATCTGTCACGTAATGTTTCTACTACTACTACAAAGTTACAAACAACTCAAGACGTGCATGAGAAAGATGTATAGGCAACGAGAATAGTTCAAAACAAGGCTAATAATACGTACCATGCAAGTGGCAATTCGCATGGCTTTACTCCAAAAGCTACCTACAAAAATGTCTGGGTGTAAGGATATAAATGGAGCAAGGCAAATCATCCCAATTGGTATGCCAATGTTCTGTTTCGCTTCCCATAGACACCATGATTATACAGAAACTACCATCAAGAAGACTGATAATGTTGTTGAGATGGCTAATGATATTTTCAAGCAGTAAAAAGCAATCAGCCATGGTACTATCCAGAAATCTAGAAGTTTTATAAAGATCTCTTTTGTTACAGAAGCATTTGAATAAAGAATAAGAAGTATAAACAGTGACATTAATACCACGGTCTGGACACTAAGATACAGCTGAAATGCTCGATGCGAATCGTTGATAGTGCAAAGACCATGAATTACTCTGTTATGAGTCCTGACATGAAGGCTCCATGTTAATCTATTAGGTGTGATCCCTCAAATGACCATCTCATCCAAGAAGTTTGCAGCTTCTTGAAATCTACTAGCTTGCAAAGAATGGCCAGCCTTGCAAAATCCATCCATTAGGGTACTGTAAGTAAATACATTAGGTGCAATACCCTTGCCCATCATATCTTTAAGTACTTGAATTGCACACAAACCATGTATCATTGATGTATAGGTAACAACAGAAGGTGAGCAACCTTTAGTGTCCATCTCTCGCAATAATTCCTTTGCTTTAACAATGTTTCCCAATCAACATAACCCATTGATCAGAGTTCCATATGTATATGAATCAGGTTCACACCCATGATTGGACATGTCACGAAATATGTACATTGCACTATCCATGGTTCCACTGTTCTTGCAAAGGGCTTTGATTAGAACATTAATAGAGGCTTACAGTGTAGGGAATGCCCATTTTTCTCATATACCTATAAAATCTAAAAGCCAATTTTGATTGATTTTCTTCAACAAGAATGGCAAACACGTTTGCAATGGAAATCCTGCATTTTGTGGAAAACTCTAATGGAATCCAATGGCTTATGGATACAACCATAAGCCCGACAAATAGAGAGAAATATAACCTCAATGACATCAAAATTATCTTCCTTCATCCTGTCAAGAAGTGTGTCTGCTAACCTGAACTGGTTGGCAGAAACCATCTTACTAATCACGAACCAAAAAGTATTGAGATCATGCTGAAAACCATTTGTATACTCGGCTGTTGCCGAGTCAAATATGAGAAGCGCCTTGTTTATGTCTCGTTCCACTCTTATTAGCTGTTCAACGTGAGAAGGTGTGACTGTTTTTGCCCATTTAAACATAAGCTTTACTGCCCATTCTTCCTCTCTTCCTTCAAGCATCAGACTTTCTAACTTCCGATTGAACCTGAAGCATATGAAATTTTTTTCAATATTTTTCAATCATATGAAAAAATACAATCATAGAGCAAAAGAACTCTTGGAAAGTTTGAAATTCAATAAAAGATGCCAACAAATACATCAAACCAACGATTCATATCACCACCATCGTGGTTTTTAGAGAAGACAACATGCATTGTTACAACACTGAAGAATCGTAGATAGTTCATTAGCATTTCACAACAGATCAAGTTTCTTGACAATTAATGAAGGAAACATTTGCTACTAAAAGCACTAAAATAAATGGGAAAAATTATAAATAGTTAAACATAATAGGATAAATTTCTTTAGTTCTCATAATAACTGGATGGAAACTCGCACTTTTTGACACTAGATATGAACGTTCTATTGAATTAAAACCACAGGAGTGTCTTTCTACTGCCAATATCTCAGGAGTCAAATTAGCCTGCCAAAGACTAACCGAACATTTCACTGTTGAGTGAGTCTACCTGTCTTGGTTTTCACTTCTAAAGAACATTTTCTAATACAGACATTGATATGTCAGCTTCACTTCTTTACATAATTCAAAGGGTCGGACTTTATCTTGGCATAGCAATGGTCCAAGTGAAGCATTTGAGCCTTCTAGTATTTTCTCACGTAAGCTTCAATAGATTTCGTCCCAATTTCCATCTCCCCATTTTTCTCTAAGCATTAGAAGTCTGCTAGCAATGGGCTTGGGCTGTTACAAATGGTATTAGAGCCACCGGGTGGTGTGCCAAAGAGAACACTAGGCCCTAAGGGGGTGGATTGTGAGATCCTGCATTGGTTGGAGGGAAGAACGAATCATTTCTGTTTGGAAACCTCTCAATAGTAGACACGCTTTAAAACCTTGAGAGAAAACCCCAAAAAAGACAATATTTTCTAGTGGTGGGATTCGGCTGTTACACTTTCAACCACCGCAAATTGGTTCTTTTTCTTGATTTGCTGCACTTGGGAGGATTAATACCTTCAAATACAATCACATGCCTCTACTTTTGTCCTTGGCCCCAACTGATGTATTTTGCCTTAGGGTTGTCTGCTTCTGGCTTTGCTTAGCTATTCTATTGGTCATCAACCACTATTCTACACAGAAAACTTAAGCCAGGTAGATAATTACATATATTCTTAATAGTATTCTGCAAGATTTTGACAACTTAGTTTAAAGTATTGTTCAATCCTCGCACACTTTCCCATTACAGCATAAGCCCCACATAACAATCGGAGTAGGGAATGGTCCAAATCGGCCACACAGAAACTAGAATCAGAACCAATTTTCTTCATCCACAGTACCTAGTGAACAATCTGAAAAAGAATCCTCCCCCAGATTTCATCTACCATTTTGTACATTCCATATACCAATTTTCAATAAAGAATGGGGCGTACCTGTCGACGGAGAGCAGACTAAAAGTAGTCGCAGACAAGGCCGGCACGGATTTGAACCCTTGAACGGCGTTCGGTTCAAGTGAAGTGAGAGATTGATAGGTCCAGTCGCGGGTAGAGGTTGTTGGGAATGTGACTCACTCTCCACCATGGCAAGCTATGATCATTCCCTAAATCCTTTCATCATCCAACACCTCCTCTCGAACAAAAAAGTATGTCTTCTCTTAATCGACTCCTTTATTAGACATTTGAGAATTTACCCATTTATTGGCATGCCCAAATTTAGGGCATGCCTCTAATACTATGTTAGGAATCACGCCTCTCCACCACGGTATGATATTGTACCCTTTGAGCATAAGCTCTCATGGCTTTGCTTTGGCCTCGTACCAATGAATATAGTATTATTTGATTATACACCCATGATCATTCCCTAAATTAGCTATTGTTATCCTCCAACAGAGTTACGTTGAAAGGGCAACAATTTAATAAAATTTAATATTTTATAATTTAAATTTCATAATTTTTAATTAATCAAATATTTTTATAAAAAATAAAATTTTATTAAAAAAAACTTTATTTATCAATAATTTTATTAAGGAAAGATTATTAAAAACATCAAAATTTCAAAATAATATTACATTAAAAATTATAATTTTAATAACATTTATATATAAAAAAATTAAATAATTAATATTGATTATTATTATTATTATTATTTATAGAGGAAATGATTTGCAGGGTGGCTCGACGTTGCCGAAGAGTTTTTGTGTGAAAGCTCTGCATAAATGGCGGCTCATCCCATTAAGATCTTGTATCTCTTTCCCGCCTTATTCTTACCTCTCTTCGCCGTCTGCGAAGTCGCTTCGTTCGCTCGTTCAAGTAACGATGTGTTGATCGATGATTTGCTGGAAATCAAGCTCAGGATCTCTCGCTTAGGTGCATGTTGTTTACTGTTTTCATTTCACATGACATTGAGAGGTTTTTAATTCTTCATATGATTTAGCTAATTCTAGTGTCTGTCAATCTAGACTTCAGGCGTACATTTATTACGTAAGTTTTCTGTGGTGTCGCTATCTTGTACTTGATAAAATCGAATGCAGAATCCGTTCTGGAGGGAAGCAGGCAAAATTTAACCGAGAAAGGCAATGAAATTGTGGCGCAGGAAAGGTTAATTGAGGCTATGTCTCATAAGATTCAATACTTGGAGTCGGCTCTATTTGATATGAAGGTTTGATTCGTGTATTATTATCAAGAACATGTTGCTTCATCTTTGTGTGCATTTTCAGAGATTCATTCCGTCTCTTGTTTTTTGATACTTTTCGTACATCAGAATATGTTTGATGTGTTCAATTACAGACTTTGGAGTGGGCTATTAGCCATTCACACGTCCGAATTTACTAAATGATTGCAAAATATGTCTGATTATAGGTTAAGTTTTCTATTTCAACAATTGCTTGTCAATAGGGAGAAAATTTACAGTCAGACATCACCTGAATGCGTTAATTCTTTGAGGAAATGTCGAAATTTAGTATTGAGACTGATATTAGTTTAGTTGATTTGCAGAGGAAAACATTAAGTCATGATGAAAGGATTGCTGCTCTAGAGGATGAGGTGTTTGTCTACTTTTTCCTATTTAATTTTTTATGTGAAAAGTTGCATCGGTAGATTTTCTGGTCCAGGAAACAGTCGATTGATCCGTATAGTTGGCTTGGGCATGTTAGGTACGACTTCTCTGGGCTGTATTAAGAAAGAACAACTTTGATATTCATCTTTTGAAAGTCAAGGCACATGAAGCTGAGGAAAAACTTGAAGAGGTTACCTCACAAGTTGAGAAGGTATAAATTTAGACTAGGGGGTTTTTTAATCTTCATAGCAGACATCGTTTGATTGTTTCACTCAACATGCTCACGTATTTGTCATGGAAAATTGTGTAAAACTAAGACNCAGTATGGCTTTAACTTCTTTCTCCTTGAGCACTATATCTCATTTGGTATGGATCAGAATGCAGAGGAGTTCATAGATCACACAGAAATTTAATCATGAGACCATTTGTAGATAGTAGTGGTGGTGACATAATGAAAGCTTATTCTATAAAAAACTGAACTATTACTTCTTTTGGAAGATGCTAATCAGAACTCAGAAACACAATTGTAGAACCAAAAAACTCGAGTGGGACGATTTCATGGATGGGATTCATATTCAGAGTTCACAAAACTCATCTATGAAGGGCTAGCAATAGATTTCTATATGAATAGGTTGTCTTTGTTTTGTGCAAAGCCAACTGATTAAAGACCAAATCTAGAGTAGCATCAATCATTCTAATGTTAGCCACTTCTAGAAAGTATAGCACATCAATCATTCTAATGAGCATTTATGTATGCATGCAAAGTCAGCCCATCTACGCTAAAAGAGAATATGAAAGCATAAAAGTTCCATTACATGAACAAAGCCCTTCAAAACCATGAAAAAAGTAAATAGAAATCAAATGATAAGCTCTTGCATTATCTGTCACGTAATGTTTCTACTACTACTACAAAGTTACAAACAACTCAAGACGTGCATGAGAAAGATGTATAGGCAACGAGAATAGTTCAAAACAAGGCTAATAATACGTACCATGCAAGTGGCAATTCGCATGGCTTTACTCCAAAAGCTACCTACAAAAATGTCTGGGTGTAAGGATATAAATGGAGCAAGGCAAATCATCCCAATTGGTATGCCAATGTTCTGTTTCGCTTCCCATAGACACCATGATTATACAGAAACTACCATCAAGAAGACTGATAATGTTGTTGAGATGGCTAATGATATTTTCAAGCAGTAAAAAGCAATCAGCCATGGTACTATCCAGAAATCTAGAAGTTTTATAAAGATCTCTTTTGTTACAGAAGCATTTGAATAAAGAATAAGAAGTATAAACAGTGACATTAATACCACGGTCTGGACACTAAGATACAGCTGAAATGCTCGATGCGAATCGTTGATAGTGCAAAGACCATGAATTACTCTGTTATGAGTCCTGACATGAAGGCTCCATGTTAATCTATTAGGTGTGATCCCTCAAATGACCATCTCATCCAAGAAGTTTGCAGCTTCTTGAAATCTACTAGCTTGCAAAGAATGGCCAGCCTTGCAAAATCCATCCATTAGGGTACTGTAAGTAAATACATTAGGTGCAATACCCTTGCCCATCATATCTTTAAGTACTTGAATTGCACACAAACCATGTATCATTGATGTATAGGTAACAACAGAAGGTGAGCAACCTTTAGTGTCCATCTCTCGCAATAATTCCTTTGCTTTAACAATGTTTCCCAATCAACATAACCCATTGATCAGAGTTCCATATGTATATGAATCAGGTTCACACCCATGATTGGACATGTCACGAAATATGTACATTGCACTATCCATGGTTCCACTGTTCTTGCAAAGGGCTTTGATTAGAACATTAATAGAGGCTTACAGTGTAGGGAATGCCCATTTTTCTCATATACCTATAAAATCTAAAAGCCAATTTTGATTGATTTTCTTCAACAAGAATGGCAAACACGTTTGCAATGGAAATCCTGCATTTTGTGGAAAACTCTAATGGAATCCAATGGCTTATGGATACAACCATAAGCCCGACAAATAGAGAGAAATATAACCTCAATGACATCAAAATTATCTTCCTTCATCCTGTCAAGAAGTGTGTCTGCTAACCTGAACTGGTTGGCAGAAACCATCTTACTAATCACGAACCAAAAAGTATTGAGATCATGCTGAAAACCATTTGTATACTCGGCTGTTGCCGAGTCAAATATGAGAAGCGCCTTGTTTATGTCTCGTTCCACTCTTATTAGCTGTTCAACGTGAGAAGGTGTGACTGTTTTTGCCCATTTAAACATAAGCTTTACTGCCCATTCTTCCTCTCTTCCTTCAAGCATCAGACTTTCTAACTTCCGATTGAACCTGAAGCATATGAAATTTTTTTCAATATTTTTCAATCATATGAAAAAATACAATCATAGAGCAAAAGAACTCTTGGAAAGTTTGAAATTCAATAAAAGATGCCAACAAATACATCAAACCAACGATTCATATCACCACCATCGTGGTTTTTAGAGAAGACAACATGCATTGTTACAACACTGAAGAATCGTAGATAGTTCATTAGCATTTCACAACAGATCAAGTTTCTTGACAATTAATGAAGGAAACATTTGCTACTAAAAGCACTAAAATAAATGGGAAAAATTATAAATAGTTAAACATAATAGGATAAATTTCTTTAGTTCTCATAATAACTGGATGGAAACTCGCACTTTTTGACACTAGATATGAACGTTCTATTGAATTAAAACCACAGGAGTGTCTTTCTACTGCCAATATCTCAGGAGTCAAATTAGCCTGCCAAAGACTAACCGAACATTTCACTGTTGAGTGAGTCTACCTGTCTTGGTTTTCACTTCTAAAGAACATTTTCTAATACAGACATTGATATGTCAGCTTCACTTCTTTACATAATTCAAAGGGTCGGACTTTATCTTGGCATAGCAATGGTCCAAGTGAAGCATTTGAGCCTTCTAGTATTTTCTCACGTAAGCTTCAATAGATTTCGTCCCAATTTCCATCTCCCCATTTTTCTCTAAGCATTAGAAGTCTGCTAGCAATGGGCTTGGGCTGTTACAAATGGTATTAGAGCCACCGGGTGGTGTGCCAAAGAGAACACTAGGCCCTAAGGGGGTGGATTGTGAGATCCTGCATTGGTTGGAGGGAAGAACGAATCATTTCTGTTTGGAAACCTCTCAATAGTAGACACGCTTTAAAACCTTGAGAGAAAACCCCAAAAAAGACAATATTTTCTAGTGGTGGGATTCGGCTGTTACACTTTCAACCACCGCAAATTGGTTCTTTTTCTTGATTTGCTGCACTTGGGAGGATTAATACCTTCAAATACAATCACATGCCTCTACTTTTGTCCTTGGCCCCAACTGATGTATTTTGCCTTAGGGTTGTCTGCTTCTGGCTTTGCTTAGCTATTCTATTGGTCATCAACCACTATTCTACACAGAAAACTTAAGCCAGGTAGATAATTACATATATTCTTAATAGTATTCTGCAAGATTTTGACAACTTAGTTTAAAGTATTGTTCAATCCTCGCACACTTTCCCATTACAGCATAAGCCCCACATAACAATCGGAGTAGGGAATGGTCCAAATCGGCCACACAGAAACTAGAATCAGAACCAATTTTCTTCATCCACAGTACCTAGTGAACAATCTGAAAAAGAATCCTCCCCCAGATTTCATCTACCATTTTGTACATTCCATATACCAATTTTCAATAAAGAATGGGGCGTACCTGTCGACGGAGAGCAGACTAAAAGTAGTCGCAGACAAGGCCGGCACGGATTTGAACCCTTGAACGGCGTTCGGTTCAAGTGAAGTGAGAGATTGATAGGTCCAGTCGCGGGTAGAGGTTGTTGGGAATGTGACTCACTCTCCACCATGGCAAGCTATGATCATTCCCTAAATCCTTTCATCATCCAACACCTCCTCTCGAACAAAAAAGTATGTCTTCTCTTAATCGACTCCTTTATTAGACATTTGAGAATTTACCCATTTATTGGCATGCCCAAATTTAGGGCATGCCTCTAATACTATGTTAGGAATCACGCCTCTCCACCACGGTATGATATTGTACCCTTTGAGCATAAGCTCTCATGGCTTTGCTTTGGCCTCGTACCAATGAATATAGTATTATTTGATTATACACCCATGATCATTCCCTAAATTAGCTATTGTTATCCTCCAACAGAGTTACGTTGAAAGGGCAACAATTTAATAAAATTTAATATTTTATAATTTAAATTTCATAATTTTTAATTAATCAAATATTTTTATAAAAAATAAAATTTTATTAAAAAAAACTTTATTTATCAATAATTTTATTAAGGAAAGATTATTAAAAACATCAAAATTTCAAAATAATATTACATTAAAAATTATAATTTTAATAACATTTATATATAAAAAAATTAAATAATTAATATTGATTATTATTATTATTATTATTTATAGAGGAAATGATTTGCAGGGTGGCTCGACGTTGCCGAAGAGTTTTTGTGTGAAAGCTCTGCATAAATGGCGGCTCATCCCATTAAGATCTTGTATCTCTTTCCCGCCTTATTCTTACCTCTCTTCGCCGTCTGCGAAGTCGCTTCGTTCGCTCGTTCAAGTAACGATGTGTTGATCGATGATTTGCTGGAAATCAAGCTCAGGATCTCTCGCTTAGGTGCATGTTGTTTACTGTTTTCATTTCACATGACATTGAGAGGTTTTTAATTCTTCATATGATTTAGCTAATTCTAGTGTCTGTCAATCTAGACTTCAGGCGTACATTTATTACGTAAGTTTTCTGTGGTGTCGCTATCTTGTACTTGATAAAATCGAATGCAGAATCCGTTCTGGAGGGAAGCAGGCAAAATTTAACCGAGAAAGGCAATGAAATTGTGGCGCAGGAAAGGTTAATTGAGGCTATGTCTCATAAGATTCAATACTTGGAGTCGGCTCTATTTGATATGAAGGTTTGATTCGTGTATTATTATCAAGAACATGTTGCTTCATCTTTGTGTGCATTTTCAGAGATTCATTCCGTCTCTTGTTTTTTGATACTTTTCGTACATCAGAATATGTTTGATGTGTTCAATTACAGACTTTGGAGTGGGCTATTAGCCATTCACACGTCCGAATTTACTAAATGATTGCAAAATATGTCTGATTATAGGTTAAGTTTTCTATTTCAACAATTGCTTGTCAATAGGGAGAAAATTTACAGTCAGACATCACCTGAATGCGTTAATTCTTTGAGGAAATGTCGAAATTTAGTATTGAGACTGATATTAGTTTAGTTGATTTGCAGAGGAAAACATTAAGTCATGATGAAAGGATTGCTGCTCTAGAGGATGAGGTGTTTGTCTACTTTTTCCTATTTAATTTTTTATGTGAAAAGTTGCATCGGTAGATTTTCTGGTCCAGGAAACAGTCGATTGATCCGTATAGTTGGCTTGGGCATGTTAGGTACGACTTCTCTGGGCTGTATTAAGAAAGAACAACTTTGATATTCATCTTTTGAAAGTCAAGGCACATGAAGCTGAGGAAAAACTTGAAGAGGTTACCTCACAAGTTGAGAAGGTATAAATTTAGACTAGGGGGTTTTTTAATCTTCATAGCAGACATCGTTTGATTGTTTCACTCAACATGCTCACGTATTTGTCATGGAAAATTGTGTAAAACTAAGACGAAAATTTTATTATTATTTTCCATGTTTATGTGACACAATATAAATATATATATATATATATGGCCTATACACTGTGGTATCTGGTAGTTCCCCTTGTCATGCAATGATAATTATAGATTTAGCCAGACACTTTCGTTTGGCTAGCGTGTCCTCATCTGATACGAGGTTGGCACTTGGACACTCCAACACTTTTTGGATACATCTTAGACACTTATTAGCACAATAGATGTATTAGACACCAGTTGTTCAAAGTCAATATAGGTCAACATTTAGTAGACAAGTATCAAACTCTTGCTAAGTATACTATATAGGCATATAATAATAAATTTTGAGAGTGAAATACATCAAACTCATATTTTTCAGTATATAAATTTGTGGACTTTGAATTTCCTTCTTGTATAGAAATGATATGTGTCCTTGCTATATCGTGTCCTAAATTTTAAATTATAATGTGTCAAGTTGTATGCATGCTTCTTAAATTGTAGACAATAAGAAATGAGAAATCCTTCTACATCCTATCATTTTTGAAGTTTTTCATGTTTTCCTCCCATTTATTGTTCACGATTTACCTAACTGAAGAAATGCGGGGGAAGCACTTGTTCATGTTCTGGACTCTGATTGAGAATGAGTTCATTTCTCTTTATAACTAACATATCTTCTCCTCAACCAACTTATATCCATGGACAAAATGTCTCTTTATGCAAGCATTCCTTTGTTAGTGTGCTTACTTTGTGACCATTTTATTTTCCAGATGTCTAGCATAGTATCTGAACAGTGGATTCATATTCGGCATCTAGAGCAGGCCCTTGAAATAACAAAAGTATGTGTTACGGGAGTGGGATCAATGATTGAAAATTTTATTGTTGAGCTGTTGTGCTGATGTATAAACTAACTTTATTGGCGTGTGACTAGATAAATGCTTTGAAGGTCCGCCAGCAAGTTGCCCTAACCAGATGCACCTTTTTAAAGGTAATTTTTTGACAAGCCTGGTCGAACATTGTCTTGTCATTCACTCTGGCTCACCCGTGCATTATTTGCTGGCTGCACCTTCATAGAGTGCTGCACTATAAGTTATAGCCAATGTTAGAATCAAATAACGTTAACCATTTCAGATTTTTTTTCAAATATTTTCACTTGTAAGCTTTATCAAATGTTTAATTTTGTTTATAGTTGGTCAACACACGTTTTATCAATCAACTTCAGAAGGCCCTACAGACATTGAACTATCATCTGTTCAGCAAAGTGCCTACCTTGAGTTCCATGGTTACAGGAGCCATCCAATACTTCCAAGGAGTCTATGAAGAAGCCAAAAAGTATCACCATGAGGTATGTGTTCGTGAACGGAAAGATTAAAGTCAATCTAATAACTTCTGCAAAGACATGGGAACGAAACCAATGGCCCACCGTATAATTCTTTTAGAACTTTCTACCTCCATCCCTTGATCTTTGACATTTGTATATCATACGGGAATATAATTGTTTCAGCTGAATATGCAATGCCAATCTCATCTATATCCCTTCGTCATAATGACTATAAAGTTTGAATATTGATATCTGCAGTTACAAAGACTGATCAAACAAGAAATGGAAAGAAGGGACTATGCAGCATATCTTGTAAACAGGGAAGTTATTTTCTTTCTGGTAAGCTGCAAAAATCTCGATGCTTCATCTTGAATCTCTTGCCTGTTTTTCTGCGTACTTGCATAATCTAATCATGTTTTTTTTATGGATTTTTAGGCGTCTGCTATAGTTACCTTCCCAATTTTTGGTGCTTGGATGTTCCTCTCTTCATGGTTTTCCAGGTGAAAGAGTAATCAGTGAGAAAAGAGGGCTAGGTTATACTCGAGTACCTTTTTTTCATGACTATCCTGATAGTTTTGCTTAGCTGGAGATCAATTTTCCAATATTAGATGTGAATTCCTTCATGAACAAGTCTATATATAGTTGCAACTTTTAGCATTCAAATGAAATATTCATACTTTGTGTTAAAAGTCAAGTTTTTTGTTGCATAACACTTCATATAAATATACATGAAAAAGAAAATGCTGGATTACTGAACTGATGAGTATAAATTCCACAAAATGCATACGATTTTCAATGGGGGTAAATGTAACTTTTTTTTTGGTTGACTATATAGTTGTGGCACCAGAAATTCTCACTCCCAAAAAATTGTTCCAAAACATGCTTAATACAGCAGAGATTTACATTCTAAAAATACTGTTTGGTTCACTATGAAATAAGAATGGTGTTTTGTGGCTGACTATATAGGAATAATATACAAAACACATTTACAGCAGAAAAATAGTTGTATCTACTCACTGCCTAGTTTTCTCTTTATCAGATCATAGAATCCTCCGACAATATGGTTAACAACGAGTATTTCACTTTGATAGAGATCCGGGCACCTTCAACACAAAGCTTGGCTCCAGTGACCACCCAGTATCCAGGTGAGTTCTCAGGGCCACGCACCATTTCTTTCGTATCGATGACGTTCAACATTTTCATTGCTCTCACAGTCAAAGGTGGACCATCGGGATAAACAGCCGAGTTCAATTCAATTTTTGGTTGCGCTTCTGGCTGCTGCAGCCCTGTACTAAACCTTGTGCTGATAAAGGTGGATATGAGTCCAGATTTTCGGGATGACGTTGAAGGTCCTTCCCATTCTGATCGACGAATCTTTGCTGATGCCACCGTCGAAAACCCAAGCCTCAGGAACAATACCTTTCTCATTCCAATAACCTTAACTTCAAACCAAGCCTTTGTGACGATAGAAGCAGTATCGTCATCAATTAGTGAACCATTGTACTGCACTGGAGCAGTGCAGACATGTGAAAATATGCTCCATTTAACTGGTTGGAAGTAGCCCTTCTCCTCTGGCTCGTCAATGGGTCCATAACTCAGATCATCTGAGAGTTGGATAGTCTTGGGAAGAGTTGATAGATGCTGAAGATGAATTGCAAGATGGTCACTTTTCTTTCCTTCCAGAAACAACCGAACTCCCGTTACTGGACGACTGTTCGAATCAACCTGCAGTTGCAAAATCATGTTCAATCTCAGCATCGTCATTTTGACAAACCCGTCTTCAAGTCGGAAGATTACCTTAGTAGTATTTACATACAGCTTGGGGCCCATCAAAGTGAACTTCAGAGATGGAGAGGCTTGTTTCCTAAGCCGAGTAGCGAGAGGAAGATCGGCGTACACCGGTGCCCATTGTCGAGGCAGCTGAAATTCCAGAAACTGCTGAAGCTCCTCAATTGGAGGTTTATCTGCACAAATTTTCAATGATCAAAATCCATCACTAATGGTAAATTCAATGTGAATTAGAACTTGCAGGCTTGAATCTGGTGTCAATATTTTAATGGCTTCTCAAGTACTAAGGCAATGCTGATCTCCATATTTCAGTTTCTTAGTACAGGTACAGGCAAAGTTTATAGGACAAAAATTACCCAAGACCATTGAAAAATAGGCCATTGGCCATAGATAGACAAAAGTTAACAGCAAGACTGGGATACTTGCATCTTAGGTACAGGTTTACTGCATGGCTTAGAAATCCATTGCCTCGGACGCCATTCAGGAGCGATGTTATGGGCACGAAGGACATCGAAATAACATTAGGCGATTGAGATACGGTCGAGAGCCATTGATTATGACTTTGACCAACATCAACGCCTCCCCTCCTAACATAAATTGTCGTCAACTCCTGCATCCATTCAATTAAATAAGTCAGTTCTCTATTAGGTAGCATTCTACTCGAACGATGAATAACTAGATCTCGAGACACTTACATCACCCTTCGAGTGAGTGATAATTGGCGGTTTGATAGAGGCAGCAAATGCATGACGAAGCTGCCATGGCATAGAATACTCGTCCTGAAAATTGAAACGGAAGATCCTAATTATCGATATAATCAGGTATGACAAGTGATTTTGGCCGTTTTAAAATTACTTCCAAACATGTTCAAAGACAATTGGTATATCTCGTAACAAGCCGGAGATTTGCATCACTAACCTCAAACCTTGCCAATACGAACAAAATATAACATGTTTCAAGGAAAGAACACGAATCGCCATTCAATCTACGGAATGGCGATAGCGATTAATGTTCTTGAGTATGTACCTTAATTTTTGCAGCAGTAGAATTTGACATGAAGCCTCCATTTACATCTTCAGAAAATCTTTCATCTGCTAATTGCTTCAACTTCTTCTGCACTTCAGCTTGTTCTATGTTGGATTCTCGTAATTGCCTCATAAAAATGACATCTTTTCCTCCCATTTTTACACCCACAACCACATGAGTACCATAGTTCTCAATGAACCTAAAATCAAGTTAGTATCAGTTGGCAGAAACAAAATCAGATGTAACGTGTCAAATGCGCGCTAACGTTTGTCTAATGACGTTGGAAATACAAACTAAGTCTCACACGGGGTAAACAAGGGGAAGATCAAGGGTATATAAGCGTGATCAACCTTCCCCGTTGCTATGAAATCTTTTTTGGGGAACCAAAAGCAAAAGCACAAAGGCTTATGTAAGAGCTCAAGTACACTGCTAGCAGATAGCCCTCCGCTTTAGCTCATTATGTATCGTTGTCAGCCTCACGATTTTTAAAACACGTTGGCTAGGGAGAGGTTTCCACACCCTTATCAAGAATGTTTTGTTCCCCTCTTCAACTGACGTGGGATCTCACGATCCACCCCCTTGGGGGTCCAACATCCTTGCTGGCACACCACCCGGTGTCTGTCTTTGATACCATTTCTAATGGTTCAAGTCCACCGCTAGCAGATATTGTCCATCGTCAGCCTCACGGTTTTTAAAACGCGTTTGCTAGAGAGAGGTTTCCACACCCTTATAAGAAATATTTTGTTCCCCTCTCCAACTGATGTGGGATCTCACAATCCAACCCCCTAGTGTTTGGCTCTGATACCATTAGTGACGGTCCAAGCCCACCGCTAACCGATATTGTCCGCTTAAACTCGTTACGTATCGTCGTCAACCTCACGACTTTAAAACACTTCTACTAGGGAAAGGTTTTCACATCATTATAAGAAATGTTTCATTCCCCTCTCCAACCGATGTAAGATCTCACACCTTATGCCTACCTAACTGGATCATATCATTACTCAAATATGTCAAAGTTGATTCTCCCTAAGAAGAATATTTTTCAAATGGTGTCCCAAACGTGATCATTTTGTCCTTAAACCATTATGAGGTATCAACAATTATCACTCTATCAACGACAAAAGATTACCACAAAGAACTTCAGAAAAAATCAGTGCAGATATTCCACTTCAGACAGACAAACAACGAAAAAAAAAGCCAAAAAAGGAACATACTTAGCAAGCGCAGCAGGGTCCCATGAAGAAGGCACCTCCCGTTTGACTTGCTCAGAGAGAGTTATATGAGATCTTTCCAATTCAATGTTATACAGAGTAATGAAACAGCCATCAAATCCAAGACTTTTGGAGGAACCTGCATCGTTCTGCCAGCAACCCTTTAATCCAAACATACTGTTGAAAAACGCCGACGGAATTTTCCCCGACAAAGACAATTGCTGATTAAACAGCTCCGACATCTGTTTTCCACCCAAAAAAACATAAACCCAGTTCGATTATCAAGCCAAGATAGCAAATTTAAATGAAATTAAACTGACCCAGATGAAAAAAATCGAGAATTCCGAGCTAAAAACGCTAAAAATCGGTTTTGAACTTGACCTGATTGAAGGAGACGACATCCGACCGGAATCTAGTACGCTCGCCTTTATCGCACTTGATCGAATTCGAGACATTAGGGACGACAACACCGGCAGGGAGTACGAGGTCTTTGGTTCGTGTCAAATCGATGTCGATCAATTTCGACCCGGATGGACCCGGTTTGCAAGACGATAATCGCAAGTCGTTACAGAGATCGAACCCAAATCCGATGACGGAAACCGCTTTCTCCGCCGCCGACTGAGGATCGAACCGGTTGACGTTGAAAGACATTGCTCCGATGAAGAAGAAGGCGATTCAAAAGGGTCGGATGGAGAAAAAAAACTGAAAATGTTTGGTGGGTTTTGGGGGTTGATGATTTCAAAGGCTTTTGCAGAGTTTAGAATTCCAAGTTTTGACCGAAAAATAGAAAAGAAAAGGAAGAGAAGCGGTGGGAGAGGCACTAATGAATTGTTTAATTGGAAGAAGAAGAAGAAGAAGTCTGAGTTATAACCAAACATTGACTTCCGACAGTAATTATTGGGACAGAGGAAGAAACAGAGTGGGTGGCTGAACATGGCGGCGGTTGCTGTCAATACGCGTACGGCCTCCACCATGTTTTCGAAGGACTTTGACTGTTCGGCTTCTCTGTAAATTTCTTCACCATTTACAAGTCAAAACCCCAATCGATAAATCGGGAAAAATCGGAAAAAATCGGTAAAAATCGGAAAAAATCGGTAAAAATCGGAAAAATCTTTACCTAACCCACTCCATATCCGAACCTTTCTTCCTCTTCTTCTTCATCTTCTGATCTTGAAACTTAGATTGTTGTTCATTGTTCGTCTTTGGTGTGCTGCATTTCAACTTTCATATTCTAAGTAACAATCATTTTTGTTGGGGGGAGAAATCTTTTGCCTGACCCTTCTAGGTAAATTTGTTTAATTGGAGAATTAGCTAAGTTTCTTCTGAGTTTGTTTACGTGAGACCCCACAATTTCACATTGGTTAAGTGTAGAAACCTTTTAAAAATGTTGAAGGGAAACTCGAAAGGAAAAGCTCAAAAAGAACAATATTTGTTAGCGGTGGGGCTTGGGCCGTTATAAATGGTATTAGATTCAAACATGGGCAATGTGCCAGCAAGGATGTTGTTCCCCTTAAGGGTAGACACGAGGCAGTGTGCTAGTAAGGACGTTGGGCCCTAAAAGGGTGAATTTTGTGGTGGGTCCCACATCGATTAGAGAAAGGAACGAGTGTCACCGATGACGCTGAGCCTTGAAGGGGAGGTGGATTGTGAGATCTCACAATTGCACTCGGTTGGGGAGGAGAACTAAACACCCTTTATAAGGGTGTGGAAAACCTTTCCCTTGGGCTCTGAAGAGAGTGGATTGTGAGATCCCACAATTCCACAGGTATGGAAACCTTTCCTTGTATGGATGCCCTTCCCCCTAAGAGAGTAGACACGAGGCGAGATATTGAAGGGGGGTGGATTGTAAGATCCCACAATTCCACACCATTTATAAGGGTGTGGAAACCGAGGTAAAGCTTGAAAGAAAAGGAAAGCCCAAATAGAGCGGATTAAGTCTCAGTCGAGTTCTCTCCTGACAATTGGTTCCTTCAAACGATTGTTACTGTCAACTCGACGTCTTCTTCGCTAGACACATGGAGTTTGAACCATTTAAACCCATTAAGTCGCACGAGGCTTTATTTAAAATAAAAAATGTAAATATTGACATGCTTAAGAGATAAATAGCTAACGTTTTAATTTTTATTATAATGTCTATATAAGTTTTGGAACAAATTTTATCCTTATTATTTTTAATTTCTTTTTAAGAAACCTTAAAATTAAAATTAAATTAAAAAAAAAAATTAGTATAGCTTGGTGGAATGGGCACTATAGATATATATCATAGTCTTTGACCTATATTAATGACAACAAAATTAATTTAATAATTTAAAATAAATAAGAATTAGGTGGAAATTATCAAAGGAAGAGTGCACGCAAAGGAATCTAAGTGCCCTCTAATTTTAAATTCATTTTGAGAAACATAAAATTTGATGTGACAAAAATATTAATTTAAGAATCTTAGGTTATAATATATGTTATATGATCCTATACGATCTCGGGTTGGGTCCCCTTTTGAATGTAGTTTCAAAAAAGACTCAACGAAACCCTAAAATGGTTATATACTACTCTTCTTTAAATTTAACACCGTAAACTCTTTCTTAGAAGGATTTGAACCCACCTAACACCTATTGGTCGAGGTTGACCAATACATGTTTTTCGAGGCCGACCAAGCTAAATTAGCTGCAAGATAGTTCGGACTAAAAGAACCACGTGATAAAATAATAAAGAGTGAGGAAGAGTAGCTCTTTGGCCTAATAGAAAACCGGAGGTCAACTAAAGTGTGAAGAGCAAAATTTATAGAGTTAGATCCAAGGATTCTTAACGAGAGATGAGGACAACGTTATGACCATACCTCGACCACAAAACTCAGGTAGTTCAATACAATGAACTTTGAAACATGATGTATGAACTTTGTTTGGTTGATATAACTCGATGGGACGTAATTAAATTTCGAGCATGTTTGAGTCAAACCAAGTCATCTAATATGATTTTCCTAGCATGATAAGATTTGGTGTCACTTCTCTATCCTTGTCGATGCATGATGAGGACTATTAGGGGTAACTAACTAATCCTAGTAGTGAATTTGCCTTGATTGATAGGATTCTCACGTGCACGGAGAATTTAACCTAGGTTGCTCTCGACATGGTAGTATCTCGAGATTAGAACTTGACTAAATCTGATTATGCAAGTATCGAGCATGAAAACAAACAAGAGGTTCTCCAACAAGCCCCCTAGGTTGTAAACCAACCGACAAGATGAGCAAGTGACCACATGGGTACCTAGTACCGACAAGATGAACCGGGATGATCTGAGTGATGGTGCATCACAATCAAAAGAGGCCCCAATTGGGCTTAGCCACAATAACCCATCAAAAAGGCCCACACAAAACTAAAATGGTTAGTCCATGTCCGGTAATTTATTCAAAATCTTGTTTTTTTTTATTAATTCTTAACACATCTCTTTATTTATTTTTCAAATATTTAATTATAATAAATATTTAAAAAAATTTAACTTCAAAATTGTTGAAAATTATTTTTAAGGATAGTGAGAGAATAAGTAATAAAATAAAAATAAAATAAATATATGTATATAAATTTGTATTGTAAGCAAAATATATATATATAAATTAAAAATTTTAAAATAAATTCGCATTGTTAAGTTAACCCAATTTACTTTTAGATGAACTGATGAACCGAACCAATTCAATCCAACTCAAACGATATGGGTTAGGTTAGATTGATTAGGTTTTTTTTAACACCCCGTAATAAAATAGAAATTAATATTTTTAAAAAATATTATTTTTAGTCACATCAAAGAATTAATTATTTATTATAATTAAAAAAGAAAAAAAAAGAGTTTATTCAAAGTTTCACACACCATATTATATCTTTCTTCGTTGTTTCATAAATTAAAATTAATTAATTAATTATGTCTATTTATTTATTTCACTCGCTTTCTTTATTTTATGTCTAATTTTCTGGTAGTCAACGGCCTCTTTCACGTGTTTGACTATTTGCTCTCATGCAAATGTGAACGCCCAATTAATTTTATTTTCATTTCAGAATATAAAATATAATTTAAAATTATTTTGTTTTTTGTCTCCAAATATCTGTATTTGCGGCCGCCGAAAAAAATACAATAAAATTATAAAATGGACAAAAAAAAAAACAAAAACTAAGCTTCCTTTCCTAATTTAGAGATTCAAACCCTTTTATCACAATTTAAATCATAAAAATTATCTAAAGAAATAATATTTAAAAATATAATGTCTTTATAGATATTACCAGAAAATAATTTTACTCATAATTCTATTTTAATTTAATTTTTATTCATGTAACTTAAATTTTAGATTTTTTTAATTTATTTGGTAATAAATCTTAATAATTATCTTTAAATAAATGATTTTAATAAAATTATTTGAACTTTAATCCAATTTAAGCTTAGAAAATTAAACATTGTATAAAGTTATCATTATAGTAATTTTTTAAAATATTTTTATTGGTGAGAAAATAAATTTAAATTAGGTTTGAAGTATTAAAAAAACAATAGATATCAAAATTAATATATTAAGAAAAAAAATGTTATGAATTAAAAATTTTAAAGTGAAAATTAATAATAATAATAAAAGAGAGAGCCATGATTAGGAAATATGAAGCGTGTGTACGATTAAAGGTTTTAGGTTGAATAAAAGTCAATGTCGCCGTCAACAGCCAATATTATAAAAATATTATTTTTAAATATTCAATTTTAATCATTTAATTTATTGCTTTTAATTAACCCACGTTAAATTTATTATTATTATTATTATTTAATTCATTATTAAAACTATAGGATCGTCATCTAGATTTTACACTTAATACTCTCGACATTTTTAGCGTCTTTTGTGACATGGTTACGTTACTTACTCTTTATTTTTAATAATGAAAACTATTTTGACGAAGTATTTTTAGTAAATTATTATAAATTAAAAATTGATAATTGAAAAATAAAACCAAAATAATGAAGTACAAAGGACATGAAGGGTTATTTCAAGCTTTTAAAAACATAAATTAAAAAAAATAATAATAAATAAATAAATAAATTGGTACGTGTGAAAACTGAAATCTGAGACATTAATGGGGCGGCTGTGTCTGCCTGCTTTGTTTCCATTTTCTAAACGTGTGGCCATTATGCCTTCTTCCTCCGACACACCTTTTTCTTATTAATACGGCTTTTCTCAATTTTTATTTTATCTTATAATAATAATAATAATAAAATCAAATTCCAAGTAAACGATTCCGAGCACACAAAACGGTAAATCTAGTTGTAGTTTACATCGTTCCATTGTACTACTCACCGACAGAAAAGAAAAGAAAGGTAATAGCTATTATTTAGGTCTTTCTTAATTATCATATCCTGAATATTAGTCTCATTTTATTCGAGAACTACAAAGTTGTTAAACTCGTGAATCAGGTACATGACTATACGGTAACATGGTTTTAATACGATAATGTTTCGTGGTGCCTTCTTTACTATATAAACACGACAAAAATTGAAGACCCATCAAAGGTCGTTGCGGGGTCCCTCCCATTTTTTATATCTCAATAAATGATTTCATATTAAAATTTAACCTTCAAATTTTAATTCAACGCTAATAAATAAATAAATGTTTTACATATTATCTTTCTATTTAATAATAATTGTTTGAATTGAAAAAATTTACAATAGCGTTAAAAAAAAATGTTTAACTCACACTCTCTTTTAAATATATATATATATATATATACAAAATATTATGAGAAAGTGACAAGATAACCTAAACAAAAGCTTGGGCATGAAAACGTGTGAAAATTCAAAATATTATATATATATAATAAAACGGGAACACTTTTACAATTATATTATTAAAGTTAGTTAATTAATATAGTTATTTTCATATCTATTTTTTGTTTTTTTTTTTTTTGTTTTCTTATAAGAATATAAAAAGTATAATTTAAGGAATTGAAGTAAATAAAATAATATTGTTAATTGATTTCGTAAAGCAATTTATTTATAATAAATTTCACAAATTGTTATAAAAGTATTAAAAATAATCATAAAATCCAAATAAGACAGAAAATAATACATTTTATAATAACAAAAATATAACAGAAATCACGAAAATCTTGTGATTGACTGTCTAAAGAATTTAGTTACCAATAATTTAATGGTTGCCGCCACTCAATTATTGACGCCTAAACCCATAAACTTGTTTAACAATAATTAATAAAATAATCAATTTGATTAATTAACGTCTCGTCCCTACTTTTTATTCCTAAAATTGGATTATTCTTTTTTCTACGTTTAATTTATTTTATTTTTTACTAAAATTATATTTCATTTTTGTTTCCTGCTTCCAAATTCATTTATCTGTCTAGCACTATCAACGACTTCTATTCTTTAGAGACCATATGCGCTTTCGAGGCTCCGTACTTATTTACTTGACACTTGAGAATTCTATTGACATGATTAAATTACGATAAGATTATGACTTTGATATTATTGGTAGAAACAACAAACCTCCACAGTGGTATGATATTGTATTCTTTGAGTATGAGCTTTCCTAGCTTTACTTTTGGTTTTCCAAAAGACGGTATACCAACGATTCATCTGTCTAGCACTATCTAGATGACTCCTCTTCTCCAAAGCATCATTAATCTTCACTATGACTACACTTTCGAAACTCGGTGCTTATTTGTTTGACATTGAAGATTCTATCGACATTACCAAGTGAAGATAAGATTATGATTATAATATTGGTAGAACAATGAATCTCTATAATGGTATGATATTGTCCACTTTGAGCATCAGCTCTCATGATTTTACTTTTGATTTCTTCGACAATAAAAGATAATATATATATATATATATATATATGCCGCTAGCAGATGATATTGTTCTCTTTGGGCATTCCCTTTCAAGCTTGCCCTCAAGGTTTTAAAACGCTAGGGGAAGGCTTCCACACCCTTATAAATGGTGGTTTGTCTTCTCTCCACACCCTTATAAATGGTGGTTTGTTCTCCTCTCCAACCAATGTGGGACATCATAATCCACCCCCCTTCGGAGCCCAGCGTTCTCGCTGGCACTCTTTCTTTCCTCCAATCGATGTGGGACTGCCCCCAAATCCACCCCCCTTTGGGGCCTAGCGTCCTTACTGGCACACCGCCTCGTGTCTACCCTCCTTCGAGGAACGGCGAGAAGGCTGGCACATCGTCCGATGTCTCAGGCCCACCGCTAGCAGATATTGTCCTCTTTGAGCTTTTTTTTTCGGGCATGCCCTCAAAGCTTTAAAACGTGTCTGCTAAAGGAAGGTTTTCACACCCTTATAAACGGTGGTTTATTCTTTTCTTCACACCCATATAAATTATGGTTTGTTCTCCTACCACAACTAATGTGAGACATCACATATACCGATGGAGATAGTATCTCTTACTTATATACTCGTGATATTAACGTGTATGTGAACATAATTAAGGAGAAATTGAGATGTTTTTGTTAAAGAGTGGGAAGGGTGCGGTGACGTAGAAGGTGGATGGTAGAGTGATGGGGTGAGAGTAGCAGAACCCATGGTAGGGTGATGTGGCGTGAGGCTACGAGGATGTCCATTAGCGACGAATAAGGAAACAGAAACACGCGTCAATGCTTGGTCGGTAACTCCCTTGTGTGGGACCCACCAAGCGCCTCAAATTCCATCCAAAACGCGGGGGCCTCAATTACAACGCAACCAAACAAAACGCCACTTCCTTTTACATAAATTATTTTTTTAATACAAAAAAAATAAAAAAACGTGTCATATTTACAATTTCGTCCTACGTTTTTCATCTTAATCCCCAAATTACCCCTCTCATCGCCTCCATGGTTTTGCATGGGATTCCGCTGTTGAATCTCAACCGTTGGATAACGCGACAAAATAAACCAGATGATGTTTGATCTGAATGACGTGGTCGGCTTACTACATGCCACGTAGCATGTGGACACCATTCCCAGCAGTCAAAATCTCTCCTTTTCCTTTTCACTCTCTCCAATCCATCACTCCGATTTCCGCTTCTATAAATACCCAAATCCTTCCCTTTCCAATTTCATCTTTCAACAAAGCAAATCAATCCCATCGCCATTTTCTCCATCAACTACGTAATCTATGGCGCCAAGGGACAAGCTTAAGGCGGCGGCGGTGGTGGTTGCCGGCGGCAAGGACAAGGAGGTGCATTTTAGAGGCGTCAGGAAGAGGCCGTGGGGAAGATACGCCGCAGAAATTAGAGATCCAGCAAAGAAAACCCGTGTTTGGTTAGGCACATTCGACACGGCGGAGGAGGCGGCGAGGGCTTACGACGCCGCCGCTCTCCAATTCCGTGGCGCTAAGGCTAAAACTAATTTCCCCTTTCCCGTTGCTGTTAATGATCTTAATCTCAGTCCTAGCCGGAGTAGTACCGTTGAATCCTCTAGCCGTGACCCAATTCTTGACCTCAATCATGACGCTGTCGGATCTAGACCGGCGTTTCCGTTCAATCATCCCCAATTCGGAGGTGGGATTTTTCCGCCGCCGAATCATCTCCTGTTCTTCGATCATCCCATTTTTAGTATTCAAAATCATCAATCGGGTGTGGTTTTTGATCGCCACCGGCAGAAGGTAGTGGCGAGTGGCGGAGTTCAGAGTGACTCTGATTCATCCTCTGTTATTGATCTGAACCAAAACGACCACCACAAATCAAGACCGGTAGTTCTAGATCTCGATCTCAATTTCCCACCACCGGAATCCGCTTAGGCTTTACGACGGCGATGAATTATCGGAACGACCTTTTTTTAATCTCCATGTAAATTAATACACGTGTAGCAGAGGAATATAATATAGGTTCTTAATTTGAAAATGTCTCATTGCTTTCCCCGTAATTGGTCGAGCAAAGCTCAGGCAGCCCAGATCCCCGGCGCCGGAAAAAGGACACGACGGAGGGGAGTGGTGGGATCTAGTGAAACGGAGGGGAGGAGGAGAAAAACACGAATTTGGGGTGTGGTTTAACTTAGTACTCTGTTCTTTCCAATCTCTGTGTTCTGTTCTTCGTCACTCACAGCTTCGGAAATGGCGGATTTCTGTTTATATGGATAGCCAATGCCAAACGATTTTGATTTTACTGTTTTTCAGTTTCATTTGTATGTGCTCGTCTTCCCATCTGGATTATCTTATTCATCAAATATCTTAAAGACAAGAAAACTGTTTGAGATTTGATTCAGTTTAAATATGCAACATACATTACACAGATATCTGAGGTGAAAAAAGCAAAAATGTTTTTTAATTCTATTTTTTCTATCCTCTTACTCTGCTGTAAGCAGTTGTTATTATCTTTTTGCTTGCATCACATATAACACCAATTTTAATTTTTCAAAACTCTCTTACGAAATTTCTATTCTTCCGTTCTCTACAATTTTCTTCTTGAACTGGGGTTAGAGGCTGAAGCATACGTCGCTTGGCCGTAACAGATGCAAGAACGAATTGGCTGTGAACTCACTTATTGCTGGGAAGTGAGTGTCGCACAATCGTAAGTCCGCAATCATCAAAAGTGCGATTGTGACAAGTGGTATCAGACAATGACAACGACATGGCTTTATATAGCTTAAAATATTTTAAGAATTCTAACATTTACACTACTATGTCTCGAAGATGAGCTAGCGATAATGGCAATAATGAGAAAGTATATCGACTACGAGGATGCTCAAATCACATGATTGACTATTAAAGTGATACAATGGAAGCAAAGTGATCCTTAGACAAGGAAGCATTACCGAACTTGCATTCAGAGAATGAAGCGTTACTAGACTTGGACAACATTGAAGAAATTCTTGTACAGAAGACAGGGGAGCAAACTGTACACATGTTCAAGACACGACAAGATTGAACCATTAATTTTTACAATGATAATTAAGATTTTAATCACAAATTCTGAATAAATAAATAAATAAAATAAGAGGAAGAGTTTGGGCCGATTTGACTGGGCGGAGAGGTTACTGGGCTCAAGCCCATAATTAGACACAGAAGGAGAAGAAAGGAGGAACCGGTAATTTACCGGTTCCCGTAGTTGGAAGGAAACGGCTACTGACATTTGGCAAACCGAGCAGGCAGGGCGATGTTTTGGAGTTCGAAACTGGTGGATGAAAGGGGGAAGGAATAATTGAGTATGAGATTGTGAGAGGTTAGGTCTTGAATTTGGGATTTTAGGGTTTAAATGGGTAGGGTTTTTCTCGTTGAATTGGAAGGCAGGTCTTATAGCTGCCGCTACTGCAATAACAACGTTGCTCTTGCCGATGACATCCTCTCTCGGGTACTTTCACTCTATATCTAATCCGTTTTATATGCTCTCCGAATCCTCGATCTTGTTTCTGATTCCTCAGCGATTAATTTCGCCATGCGATGCTAGAATTTTGTTTGTTGAGATTGTGGAATTGGATTTCTGAACAAATTGGAGTGAAATCGGGAGTTTATTTAGTCCTTGAATTGTAGTTTTGCATGAAGATGGATTGTTTTGGCTTGTATAATCGTTATGCTTTCTTTTTGTGTAATAGGTTGCTGGTTTAATTGCTCCAGTGATATCTATTTTCGAAGTTATTATATACCGGTTAATCATTGTGTTGATTATTATCATCATATCGTGCATGTATTTCGCTCTTTTTTTGCATATTTAATCGGCCATGAAGTTAATATTGTTCAATTTTGATGAATTTTTATTGTTCTATTATTGTCCCAGACTTTCAATTGCAGCCAAGGGAGGGCGTTCCTTTTCAACAGTGTGTAAGTTGCATTGTTGTTATTTAAAATTTTTCGTTTCGAGCTTCAAATCCAAATGTCTAGATTGTTGTTATTTTAAATTTGCATTGTACAATTGTTAGTTATCCTCAATTTTTTTCTTATTCCTCCTCATTGGCATTTCTGTTCTACAGATTGAGATGAAATGACCTTATTTTGATCTGTTTCTGATCTCGCATCTAGATTTTACATGAATTGAAATACTTTTACCTTTTTCCAGAGTGAATGTAACATCTGGACCTAAGGAGGAGAGGTTGATGCTTTCTGGTATGCACACCGTGGAGGATATCTTTTGTTGCTGTTGCGGAGAACTTCTTGGATGGAAATATGTAAGCTTTCTTCTCTGACTATCTATGCAATAGAACTGAAAACTGTTCAATAGGAATCATGATGAACTGGCTGAACGGTCAAAGGAGCTTGTTATAACTTGTATATTTCAGTGTGTGGTTCTGTTATCAGCTACCTATCCTTTGCACATTTCAACTTTCGAACCTATAATATGAAGATAATCTCCTGAAACTAGTTCAGGTGAGCAAAAGTTTGTTTGATGCCCTCAAGTATCAAATGCATCATCAGTAGTAATGATCTATTAAGAGTGGACATGGATTCTATGAGACCCTCAATATTGCATACATATGTTAGAAGGTGCAAAGAAAGTAATTCACAGGTCCAGCAGTTAGTTGTCGTGGGAATTTAAATAGTTTTTGTGTTTTGAGTGGGTTATGTTATGTTTTGAGTTGTTAGCCTGTGAGCTACAATTTTCCATGACGCGGGTCTTCAGACACGGGTTATGCTGTGGTGGGAATTTAAAGTACCCAACCAGACATGGGTCTTCTTCCATGGTTGTCACGTTTTTGCCCAGAGTACGTGGACACAGAGGAGAAGATGGTTCAAAAGCTCATATTAGGGCTCAGACTTCAGATATAGGGCACCGTGGGGGCTATTGCACCTGCCACTTTTGCAGCAGCTCTCCATGCAGCCACCATGATGGATGCTCAATTGCAGAAAGCATGTAGAAAATCTGGGGATCAGAGGAATTTTCAGGGTAAGAGAGAATGGAATGAGCGGTCAGACAGATCATTGCGGTACGGGAGTAAAAGTCGATCGCATAGGCCACCTCCAGCAGAGAGATATTAGGGCGTTAGAATTGAGGCCCCCAGCGCAGAGAGACCTATTTGCCTCACTTGCGGTACTCGTCATTCGGGGGAGTGTAGGACAGGCACTGACGCGTGCTTCCACTACGACAAGAGTGATCACAGGAAGGTTGATTGCCCTCACAGGAGACGCTAGGATGAGAACATAGTATCTGGATCAGGGCAAGGTAGCCAAGGGGGCATGGCGCAATATCTACTAGCAGTTTACTTTATTGTTACAAATGGTATCACAGCCAGACACCGAGTGGTGTGCCAGCAAAGACGCTGGCCCCTAAGGGGAGTGGATTGTGAGATCCCACATTGCTTGGAGAGGGAACGAAGTATTCCTTATAAGTGTGTAAAAACCTCTTCCTTGTAGACGCGTTTTAAAACCTTGAGTGAAAGCCCAAAAGGGAAAACCCATAAAGGACAATATCTGTTAGCAGTGGGCTTGAGCTATTACAATATAGGAATAAACTGAGTTTAATTTTAACATAGGAAAGATAGCTAAATGTAGGAGGGTGAAGTGGTTATCTTGTGAAAATAGCAGAGGTGCACAAGCTAGTTTGGACACTCACGTACAATAAAAAATATGCTTGAAATCCTGAAACTACATTAAACTAGAGGTGATAATAGTGTAATTTATGTATTGTGTCTAAAATCATTTGATGGTTTGTGCGTTTATATGAAAAGTTTTTCTCTAAAATTTTGTTGATTTGCAGTCTTAGATTTGTTTAACTGATGTTGCTGCACTTAGGTAACTACACACGACAAATATCAAAAGTACAAGGAAGGGAAGTTTGTTCTTGAGAGGTAGTCGGACATTTTCATTCTTTCAACTTTCCAAATAACATAAGGTTTGCTATAAATGTGGTATTAGTCCTGGGTTTATTCATTCCTTTGACAGATGGAGAATAGTTGAGGAGATGATGGAAGACTTAAATGGAGAGGCTTATCCTAGTTCAAGCGATATGGATAATCCTTAGTGAGTTTCTGCCATATTTCTCAGAATAAGGAAATTGAAGCATACATGTCAAAGTGTTGTATGACCATAATCTATGATATCATAAGCTTTTTATGTGGAGTCGACGTGTCTTGAATGCTCGATTCTCCCCTCTTTTAACCCCTTTTTACATGGTAAAAGCCTTCTGGTTCTGATATATTTGTAAAGTTGAATTGCAAGTTTATTAAAAGGTATCGTCTATGCTGAGAAACGAGTTTCACAATCCCGTTCGTAACAGTTTTACGTGAACTCGTATTAGTTCGGTCTGAACTTATTCATGTCTTCTGTGAAGTTGATGGGAAGAAAAGGAAAAAAAATGAATGATTTGGGTTTGGTTATAATACTTTTTTGATTATGTGGTGGTTAGAGGACCAGTGGGAAACCAAAGCAGCCACTGGAAAAGGAAAAGGCAGGGAAGTAAGTTGTTTGCAGTGCAGTAGAAGTTCGTGATTAGCTTTTTGGAAGGACAGGAGATGGCCCACCGTATTGACTAATAGAGGATAAAGCAAAGCAGCAAAGGGGCCGCATTGTGGCGTATTGCTTGCTGCTGTTGCTGCTCGGCTAACCCCGCCGTACACGACGAGTGAGACTGCGGTGAGGCGGGCTCATTTAAAATGTTATGAATTAGTAAAAGGGGGAATGAATGATCAAATATGAATTATGATATGAATGAATGAATGATGTTGTTTACTTTGACTGTGTCAAAAGCAAGTTCTTAATTATGTTGGACCACTTCAAAGTGAAATGACATGGGCTTTAACTTGTTGTAGCCAAGAATGTCAATCGTTTAATAGAAGGGTCGGCTTTAGCCATTAAAACCATGGCCTAGCCTTGAGGAGTCATTAAGGACTCCATTTTCTGTCCCAGTCATGCTAGTTCAAGGCCTGTAGTTTATGTCCCATTCAAGGCCTGTGGTTTATGTCCCAATCATGCTGGTCTAGGACGTGTTATCCATAGTCACACTTGTTCCAAATCCCTTTTTACCTGCTTTCATTTTAGATAAGACCTTTACTATTTCATGTTGTGTTAATATAGTGTATAATTGGTCACCAAAATCATGTCTACATCTACTATGGTTGAAATGCTCCAAAATATACTATAGGGGATATGACTAGTTGTCACTTCTTTCTACCTGGGTTATATACTATCAAAATTGTTGTTGTCTGACCACTTTTAGCTTATAGCATTGCTTCCTTTCAGGATCACATTTTCTAAAAACATTTCTCATGAATGTGACTCGAGACTCGAGCATGTGTTGATGTGTTGACGTTGTCTGCAAAATCTAAAATTCTCACGTCACACCATCGCTATTCCGTTATTGGACCGTGTTTATGGTTTAGTCAAACTTGGAACATAGACCCTATAATTATTATATCGAAAACAAACATATTTTAAGGGGAAATAAAATATAAAGCAATAGAATTGGAATTGGCGACAAGACGACGGAGTTTAAGCCGGAACTGTCCCATAAACAAAAACAAATCTTGCCACTTACGGCGGCGACGCCGTGTTTGGTTGTTTGGCCACGCTTACGCCGCCGTGACCTCACTGCTACCGACAGGCTCAGTGGTGAGTAGGCATGGGACCAACCTGTTCCCCTACTGGGCCCCTCTCATCCTCTCGAATTCCTTTAAAGAGGTTGAAATGACGGCTGGGCAAAGTGCAGGTGGTGCGGTGGTCGCAGTATTTATGATGACGCCATTTGTTTATTTTTTAAATTTTCATTTCAGTCCTCTAACTTCTTCCTATTTCTACATTCCCCCCAACTCTTTCATTATTCACCTTCTCCCCCCGGTTCATTATTTAACGAACGTGAACAACGTTTATCCATATTTAAAATAAATAAATAATAATAATAAATGTTTAAAGCCGCCGTCCAACTGCCCATTGCAAATTTTGTTGACTTATTATTATTATTATTATTTTTTTAAAAAATATATATTTAATGAATTTTCATTTTGGTCTCGTTTTTATCATGAAAATTGCCTTCATTTTCTTGTTTAATTATATCCAGTGGGCCCATCATTCGAAAATTTTAATTATAGTTTGCTAATTAATAATTTATTTTTATTAAAAATTTTAATTACACATTAATATTGAATTAAATATAGAAAAATAATTAAAAACAATACACCAAAACATATTTAAGGAATTAGTTAATTGGCCTAAACTTAATTAGTAAGAAATATATGGGAGAAAATTAAAAATTTAGTGAGCTGATTAAATTAAGAGCAGTGGGTTACACGCGCGAAGGATAGCGCGTGGGGGAGAGGGTAAATTCGATAAAATAATTAAGGCGCTTAAATTACAAAGAACCAAATGATTATTCAGAATATGTCTGTAATTATACTTAAAAAAAAAAAAAAAAAATTCAAAGGTTTTATTTGTTTCTGCTTCCTACTTCATTCTCTGTTTTTTCAAAATGTTTAAATTATTTTTTATAAAATTAAAATTATTTAGTGTTATTATATTATTTTATTATAAAAGAAGGAAGGAATGAGAGGAAATTTCTATTTTTTGTCACTACGTTGAAGATTATTAGGAGTGAGTTTCACATTAATTAATTTAATAAAAAATCATGGCTCTACAAACCAGGATTATTATGTCCGAGCCCTTTGGATAAGCCAAGATTACTATCTATATTGGTACGAACCCTTTTGGATAAGGGCAAAGCAAAGTCATATATTGGTATGAGCCCTTTTGGATAAGCCAGGATTACTATCTATATTAGTACGAGCCCTTTTGGATAACGGCAAAGCAAAGTCATGAGAGCTTATGCTCGAAGAGACAATAACACCATTGTATCCTTTTAGAGAAGCCCAAAGTAAAGAGACCTTATACTCAAAAGGGTCAATAACAACCATTGTGCTCTCTTGGGGAAGTCCAAAACAAAGTCATGAGAGCTTTATACTCAGAGTGACAATATCATACTATTATGGAGAGTCGTGATTCATAACATGATATCAAAGTCATGCCTTAAACTTGATCGGACCATGTCAATAGAATCTTCAAATTAAGAGGAAAATAAAAAAGCGCAATCAACATAGTATCTCTATGATTCGGCAATTAAATAGACATTTCTAATTTATCTATTACACGAGACAATGAATCAATGTCCACCTAGAACTTGTATTTACATATCTTAGTTTTTGGTTTAATGGGTTTTTTTTTTCTTGAAATGTAGCGGTGAAAATGGATACAGAGGACCGGTGAAAAAACGCCGGTGGAAGATATTTCGTTCAATCAATCATAGCCACACCGGCGGAGGCTCATTGAGATCAAAGGGTAGAACACGCCGCACATGCCCAATAAACGACGCCGTATTGGACGGCGGCGTCGGAGCGCTGGAATCGACAAGCACCGGAGACACCTCGACATCCACATTACACATCTCGTGGCGAGGAGCGCCATGGCGGAGGAAATCGCCGAGGAGAAGACGAGCAGAGGAGGAGGAGGAGGGTGAAGCAGTGGGTCGAGAAACGTTGAGGTCGAAACAGAGGCCGGCGGCGGAGAGAGGCAGAGGAAAGTTAGTTTTAGCCTTGGAACCACGGAGGGAGCGAGCAGCGCCGTCGTAAGCAAGGGCGGCTTCTTCAGGGGTGTCGAAAGTACCCAACCAGACACGGGTCTTCTTCCATGGGTCGCGTATCTCGGCGGCGTAGCGACCCCATGGGCGCTTCCGGACGCCTCTGTAGTGGCCGTCGCGAGCGGAAGCCATGGCGGAGGAGGAATCGACGAGGAAACGGAATTTAGAGTGTAAAAAGAAGGAGAAGGCAGGAAGTCACCCGTGATCGGCGGGTAGACGACGGGATAAATACGCAGAAATATTGGGAATTAGAAGCGTGTGAAATGTGAGCCGTCGGATGAGAGAGATTTGATAAGGAGGGAGCCGCCGGGTGATTAGACGAGAAGAGGATGACGTAAGCCCTACGAATGGGGGGCTGAGCGGCGCCTGACAGACTATGTGGGAAACTGGGGCTCTGAACTGTCAGACAAATCGCCACACGTGGACCCTTTTTAAACTGGTGTCTCAGTCGTAGGGGACACCTTCTAATTGGGCCGGACTGGGCCTTCTTTCTTTTTCTTACATTTTTAACCCTGTTTATTTATCTTCCATGACTCGTAAATAAGTAACGAACGCCCTCTCCATTCTCGAACAGAAAAGTTACGAGAGTTTATACTCAAAGTGGATAATATTATTAAGATCGCACAACAACGCACATACTCGATGTAGATGAACAAAAGAATAGGATAGAAAAAATGCAAGGAGAACAGCAAGGAGAATTCTGGCTAAAGGTTCTGTATTAACGACTTTAGGTAGAAAATACAGTGAGAACTCTAGCTAAAGATTTTGTATTTGATGACTTTAGGTAGTAAATGCAGAAGAACTCTAGCTAAAGGTTTTGTATTGATGACTTTAGGTATATGCAGTAAGAAAATACAAAGAAAACAAGAGTAGATCTTCAAAGTTGGGATATATATAATTTAGTTTACTATATATAGTTACAGTCTTGCCAATAGAATTTTCAAGTGTCAGGTGTACTTTGTTTGAAGACTCAGAGTTAAGCCTCGATTAAGTGGAGGTTGTTCGAGAGCTCCGAGACCTCAAGGAAGGCTCTCATGAGTTTATAAGTAAGAAACACCATTTTTAATAATGTAGTTACTTCCAATGGGGGTTCACTGTACTGTTTTTTTTTTGGTAGCTTTTATGTCTTTCAAGACAAGCAAGTAAGGCCATTTCAGCACTTACTGACGTCTGGATGCCCTTTTTTAAGGCCTTTGTTGTTCAGTAAATGAAATGAACTTACATGGAGGTTAAATGGTAAAATGTTTTGTCCACTTCATGTGCCTTCCCACCCTTCCATTTACCTGCTTTAGTAATTATAGAAGCTACCAGTCAAACAAAGATAACCAGAAACCTTTCTAATGTAACGATTTAGATACACATTGTTGTATTCATATAAGCCAGAAAGGTACGCAATTGTATAAGATTCAGCATGTAAAATGCAAAAAAATGGGATGAAGTTACAATTAGGGACAGGGGAATATAAAGAAAATGGGTTCTCTACCTCAACCTTTGCTGGTGGGTCTGAGAGTAGTCCGCCACTGAATCCTACAGAAACCTTTAATAACTATATTCATCATTTCTGTATGCTACCACTTCTCTCTATTGTTCTGCAAAATTCTTCCCATCTCCTGGTTCAAGTAATAAGGAGTATAGAATGGTACCAATGTACATGAATTGGCTTTTCTCACAAACGGTGCAACGATCTGTACCGTTGTCGAACCACTTGGATCCATTACTCGATCTTCGATCAAATTTGAAGCAGCCATACCAAGGAGAATGATACAGTTTTGATTGTTTAATCATGGAATCAAGCGTCCGTTTTCGGTGGGAGTCCTTGTATGGCCTTGATTGTGTTTTGACATCTGGATATCACGGGATGAAGGAATCCTAGCTTTTGCATATGGAGCATCTCTTGCTGCAACAGACATCCATTAATGTATTAGGGATCCGGGAGCCATATTAACAGAGACAACCTATGCATACCAAGAGGTTAGCTAGCTCAAGCTTATCACTAGCAGATATTGTCCTCTTTGGACTTTCCCTTTCGGGCTTCCCCTCAAGATTTTTAAAATGCATCTGCTAGGAAGAGGTTTCCACACCCTTATAAAGAATGCTTCGTTCTCCTCCCCAACCGATGTGGGATCTCACATTATCCCTATAAGGAAGATAAGTAAAATCGTGGTGTTACTTTTAGAACTACAAGTTCATCAACAATGCTCTTACCAGCATTCTGTGCTCGGAGGATATTCTGCCGCCTTTTCCAGCAACAAACCGCAAAAGTAATTATGAACAAGAATATGATTAAAGTTCCAAATGCAATCCCAATTTTAGCACCAGGAGAAAGGTGTGGCTCACATGCAGGTAGCCCAGGTATACCACAGAGACCGGCATTATCAGTAAAACTGTACCATCCATGGATAGCATATTAAGTTGTTTTACAAAAATAAAAGTATATGAACTGTACTATGTTCATCTGCCATATGTAATCAATAATAAAGTAAGTACTTACTTGAAGCTAGCCCTGTGCAATAGCCTTGCACCTAAAGCAGCAGGCACTCTTCCGGACAAAGAATTCCCATTGAGATTCCTGTGAATCAAGGGATAAGACAAAGTCTTGATTTGATGATCCTTAAGTTTAATTGTTTTGGAGATAGTCAGAAGAATCTTACAGTGTTCGTAGTGATGTCAACTGTCCAAGACTTTCAGGAATTGATCCATTGAAGAAATTGTAGGAGAGATCCCTATTAGAGGAAACATATTTCAAGCATTGCACTACCAAAGTTGTGTAGATTAAGAGACATCAATCCAAATATAAAATGAAACAACCATCCAAATCTATTGTAACTGTTGCACTTGATGAGGTGTGGCTCCAAATGGCTCCAAACCAACCATTAGATCTCGTGTTGTGATATCGTTCTCAGTATCTCTCACACAACTTGATACATGGAGTTGCCCACTCTCTCTAAAACAAAGTTACGGCTGAAGCCCACCGCTAGCAGATATTGCCCTTTTTGGGCTTTTACTTCCGAGCTTCCCCTCAAGGTTTTAAAACGCGTCTGCTAGGGAGAGGTTTCCACGCCCTTATAAACGGCGTTTCATTCTCCTCCACCTATCCACCCCCTTTGGGGCCGAGCGTCCTTGCTGGCACACCGCCTTATGTCCACCCCCTTCGGGGCTCAATCTCCTCGCTGGCACATCACCAGGTGTCTGGCTCTGATACCATTTGTAACGGCCCAAGTCCACAGCTAGCAAATAGTGTCCTCTTGGGCTTTCCTTTCTAGGTTTTCCCTCAAGGTTTTTAAAACGCGTATGCTAGAGAGAGGTTTTCACACCCTTCTAAAGAATGTTTTGTTCTCCTCCCCAACCAATGTGGGATCTCACAGTTTGAGATAAAAACTCACATTATGTGACTTAAGGAGCTCAAATGTCATGGATTCTAGCTAATCATCTAAGTCATCATACCAAGCTGTAATTCTAAAATTGCACTGGTTCAATTTAATGACATTTCTTTGAAAAACGTATCAAGAATGTAGATTAGACTACAAAAGTTGGAAATCTACAAAAAAAAAAAAAAAAAAAAAAAAAAAAAAAAAAAAAAAAAAAAAAAAAAAAAAAAAAAAAAAAAAAAAAA